CTACTGGGTTTCTCACGCAGCATCTACGTGAACGAGGATCTGGTGGGTTTTCATCCACACTCCACTGATGGATGCTCCTTTGGCTACAGTCAGTAGGGCATCCTCTGGATAGACCTCCCGTCAACTTCTGGCTGTGCAAAAAAATCCTGTGGCTTCTGGCTTCCTGAGTGGAGTACAGCCTCCTGGGTAACTCTGAGAGCTGGACAGTGAGTAAGAATGACAGAAGATGAATCGATGCCTTTGAGCTGTGGTGTTGGAGAAGAGTACTACTGTACATCCCATGGACTGTCAAAAGAACAAACAGGTATGTCTTGGAGAAAGTCCAGCCAGAATGCTCCTTAGAGCCAATGATGACAAAGCTTCGTCTCACATATTATGGACATGTTGCTAGGAGAGGCTATTCCTTGGAGAGGGCTATCATGCTTGGGAAGGTAGAGGAATGGTGAGGGTGAAGAAGACCCTCAACCTGGTGCATTGACACAGTGACTGCAGCAGTGGACTCAACTGTATCAGGGAGATGAGGATGGCACAGGACAGGGCAGTTCACAGGTTCTGTTGTTTGTTCTTAGGGCTCCTATGAGTTGTACTCAACGGTCCCTAACAATATCAACCACCTGGTTAACAATTACTCACAGACTCCGTTTTCCTGGGCCTCCAGGACAACTCTCAACATTTCAGACGAAACCTTCACAAGAGCAGTAATGCTGAGGTGCGTTAAGTGCCACCCACCATTCTCTATTAACTTGCATTTTGTTGAAGACAAACCTGTTTTCTGTTATGGGGAATAGCAGGATAAAAGCTTTTAATATGCTAATTAACTATAATTGTCACCTATTAGAATGGCCTTCACATAGAAAGGATGACTCCATATCGGTTGGGGGAGAGGGGGAAAGCTGCTTGATAGTGATTATAGTGATTATTCTAAAGAAAAGGACGAATTTTGGCAGACACACTCTAGTGTTTGTGCTGTCCTCAGACCCTGCAGGAAGGTGCACGTTGAGGGAACACCTTGTAGCAGAGAGCCCACCAGGCTGCGAGGTTGCTCAGAACCATGAGCGGCCAGGAGCAAGGCCTTGTGTTTCTATGGCCTGGTGTTGACTGGAAACAGCTGTTTGGAAACGCTCTGCTGGCCAAAAGCACTTTGGCCGTGCTCTTTGGCATGGCTGGCCCTTTGGCAACAGACTCTTCCTGGTAGAGACTGAGAGCAGTTCACTCCAGAAATATCTTTGGGTTTTGTCCAGATGTGTGCCTAAGAAGATGAGAGGGTGTTCTCTCCTGCTGGATATGGGTTAGATTCCCTCATGTCCTAGACTTCCATCAGCTCAGATGCTCTCTAGATCAGACACCTCCTCCCCTAGCCAGCACTGAAGAGAAGCTTCATTCCAGACCCTTCACAGGCAAAAGAAGGGCTTTGCTGTTCTTATTAAAGAAAGGCAAGGTGGATTTATAAAAACTGTCTGGAGAACACTGTTCAGAAGTTTAGGTTATTTCTGAACTAAAGCTTTCCCTTCTTCATCCAATAGTTCACCAGTGCTGTGGGCTTCCCAGCCAAACACATTCCAAGAATAATCAATGGTAGTCCAGTCTTCTCAGCTTGAAGCTGCTCCCACACCTAACCTGCTCTCTCCCTTCTACCAGGGGCTGGCACACTATGCTGTAGCTTGTCTGTGTACAGACTGCAAGCTAAGAATAGATATTTCCATATTTAAAGAGAATAAAGCAAAAATCAAGAACACACGATGAGACGGTGGGTGACTCTGAAAGCCTGAGAGACCTAGTGCTGGCTGTTTATGGAGAAAGCGTGCACAGTCCTGTCTGTAGGCTCCATTCTCGCAAGGCATGGGTCTCTCAAAACAAGTCAGTGTGTTGATGTGGAGCTGACTCATAGCCGACCCTCCTGTAGGTTTTCAGGGGCTGTAAATCACGTAGGAAAAGACTGCCTATCTTCCTCCCTGGGAGCAGCTGGCACATCCAAACTGTCTGAGAAGCCTGCTTTTTGGGGGGATGCCCCCTGCAAATTCCATACGATCACATTATGCTACTGTCCTGTTCCAGCAACCTTAACAGTGTTGTGTCCCCTTGAACTAAGAACTCCAGGTGCTATTGTGACTAACGTTTATACCCACCTCTGATCACTGGCCTCATCACCACCCATTTCCATACATTGCCCCGGATTCCTCAACCACGCTGAGGCCCGGGCCTTGGACCCCCACATTCATGTTTCCTAGAATACTGTCCCATCTTCTCTCATGCCATGCTCTCTAGCCTTCAAATGTCACCTATTTGTAGAAGCCTCCCTAACCACCCTGTCCTGGCCTCAATTCCTCATCTTTAAAAAGAAATTAAAAGTTACAAAGAAGGCATTTAAAAATTCCTTATCAACTTGCTATGTAAATTAAGAGGGCTGAGACCGGTGCCTGGCATATGCTGTTGTTAGGTGTCTTCAAGTCAACGAGGACTCCCAGCAGAACCTTGCCCACGCTCACCATCTCTGGTATGCCCATTGTTACAATCCCTCTGTCAGCCCCTCTCTTTAAGGATCTTCTTCTCTGACCCTCCACCTTTCCCAGAATGATGCCCTTTTCCAAGGAATGACCCCACCTAACAACATGCCCAAAGTGAGACGAAGCTTCACCATCCTTGGCTCTAAGGACCTTTTGGGCTGTGCCTCCTCCAAGACAGACTTGCTAGTTCTGTTGACGGCCCGTGGGACACTCAGCACTCTTCTCCAGCACCACAACTCAAAGGCATCAAGTCCTTAGTCTTCCTTATTCATTGTCCAACACGGAGATGCAGACAGCAACTGAAAATACCAGGACTCACAGTAACTATCTCAGTCACCTACTGTCATGAGTACTAAGGAAGGCCTTCCTAAGCACTTTTAAAAAAATTTCAACTTTGAAGGGACTTTCTATGTGTCTCTCCACTTTAAACTCGTGCTCTGTGATGACTGATAGGGCCGGGTGGGTTTAGAACTTTCTGATCCTCTGCTCCTGGCACAATGGTTGGCCCACAGTGAAGAAGAGAAAGGGGGACTCATAACGTTCTGACTCCAGATCTGCATTACTGGCACCTGATACCAGAGTGCTGATGGTGTGAAGGGTGTCTCATGCTTGCCTGCTAACTGAAAGATTAAACCCACCAGCTGTGCTGCATGAGGCAGCTGGCCAGCCTTCGTCCTGAGGTGCTGGCGGTGGTCAAAAGCACAGCTACACCCAGTGTGACCTTAGGCTCCTCAGATGGTCCTCCATGGCTGCCCAACCCCCAAGAGCCCTGCCAGGCTGGCCTGTCCACCTACCTGCAGGGCGCACGTGCCTTTCTCTGCCTTCTCTCCCTGCCTGCTGCTTTCCTTGTCCTCTTTAATGACTCTGCATCAAGTTGTTCTTCCTCCTCCCCCACTCTTTCCTGAAGACCACTTTTCTTGTTCTCTTACCACTATCATCACCACCCTCATCATCATCACCACCACCACCATGGCACACACAAGAAGAAGGATACTCTTAGGACTAAATGAGGTTAATAAAAAGAGAAAAATATTTGGCACAGAATAGGTATTGTTGCTGTGTACCATCAAGTTGGAATCTACTCTTAGCTGACCATCCAGCGATGTTCTGAGGCAGTTTAATTGCACAGAAGGAGATTTCCTCTCTTTCTCCTGTGGAGCAGCTGATGGAGTCGAACCAAGAGCCTTTGGGATTACAGTGTGGTTCCTACCACTAAGCCATCAGAGCTCCCACATAGGTATTCACAAATAGTATTTACTTTTCACTTTAAATTAGTTGTGGATTCTCTTTAGAAAGTGGAAAATTAGTATTTTATACAGATTTTCATCTACTTGACCTAGAATACATTTGCACAGATTCAGATTACGGCTATTCCTAGATCACACACTCACCTGACACCACCATTACTTTACAGGGACTTCTTTTAAACATTTATTAAAAAAGCAAAATGTATGTTCATCTCAAATATAACAGTTAAAAGTGGTAAAGCAATACAAACAACGTGTGTATTAGCAGCATCCAGTTGTTAGAGTCCCTGCCCACTTGCAGTCCACCCCTTGGCCATCCTGCCCCACACCTGCTGCTGCTGCCCCTCCTGGTCATAGTGCAGATAAAACCAAATCTTACAAAATTAACAAGTTAAGGTTAAATAAGCTTAAATAAGGGTGTTAAATACAAGACATGTCCTTGAAGCGTCTGTACAAAGGTAAGCGGGCGTCGTACACGCGGCCCTTGCACAAGGGAATTTCTTACTAAGGAAGCAGGCGGCTCTTCTCAGCTGAGCAGCGACTAGACTAGGGACCTAGGAGCTTGAGTGAGTGCTCAGTGAGCCGTTGCCAAGGCAGGTGGATCTCCTGGAAATCAGAACACTGTTAATATTCAGGCACCATTTGTTCCTGCAAATAAATAAATCTCTAAGGGAACTGCATTCGAACTAGTGCTAACCTATCAGTGCTTTTCTCATTTCCCCCCGACACAACTTTTCCAAGTATTCACTACACCCTGTTCTTATTGCTATGATAATGTGGCTGTGGAAATAGACTACTGTACGTACAAAAAAATAGAGCACCTTTAACATTAAAGTATACGTCTGATTATTTGTTTTTATGTTTATTTTACAATACTAAAGCCCAGACTACAGTAAATTGCTTTAACATCACTACCAGGTCACCTGATATATGGGAAAGAAGACCCAGCTGCCTTCCTCGCGAGGTAAACCCTGCCTGAGCGTCACTCTAGTAGGTTCGCCAAGGGAAAGGTCCCCGTACACGGACTGGTCTACATTCGTCCTACGAGGTAAATTCATCTTCACACCGGCTCTGCTCCGCTCGCGTGCTCACAGGGCCTCCACGAGGAAATCGCAGCCAGAGCCTGCTGGGGGGGACAGTGCTGCGCGCGGTGGAAGAGCAGGAACATCTAGGACAGCACAGGTCAAACCACGTTTGGGCGACTTTGCAGGGACAGAGTTCTCATGGCAGCCTTGGTGGGAGGACGGGCTTAGGACTTCTTGTCAATGGTGTTGAAGAACCATTCTGTGAACTTGCGCAGCTGGGCAGTGGCCGTCTGCGACTCCTCCTGCAGCCGCATGTTGTCTTGTCGCAAATGCTGGACCTCGGCCTGAAGGACTGCCTTGTCTTGCTTTTCCTGGTGGCAGAAGAAATGGACTGCATCAGGGGTAGAACCCTCTCCTGCCATGGCCCACATCTCATGTATCGCACTGGCCCAAAGGCCTCCTGACAGCACTAAAGAGCAAGGACTCAACTTTGGGGACTGGAGTGTGTGGCCCCAAACTGAGTTATTTTCAATTGCCTCAACTACCTGGAAAAGCTCAAAGGAGAATTAGGCCTCTGAATTATGGTGATGAACAATACTAATGATATACTAGCCTGCCAAAAGCTCGGTTTTATCACCTCAAAAATCACTTACCACCTCGAGCCCTGTCTCTTTGTCCTGGTCTTGCTTTCCTAGCTAAGTCTAGCTGGAAAGACAGCAGGCGATGGGCCCACCAGCCACCCCAGCCTGCCACCAACTTTCTCGGGTGTAACTATGAAGTCCCATGGCCTGGTAACCTCTCCCTCCTAGCCATGCAGAATCAACTGATGACCCAGCTGGAGAAAAACACCTGGCTTTGCTGACAAGTCTCGCTTAGGCTATATAATTCAAATGTCCTCTATCTCTTGGTTGGAAATTACACCAAATGCACCCAGTGTATCTTCTAGTCAAGGTTTTTCTCAGCCTTAACGTCCCCCAGTCTTGCACACTCCTCCCAGCTGCTCTGGCTCGCCCCTGCCTAGTGGCCACACCTGTACTCAGCCCTGCCCACAGCGGCCTGCTACTTTCCCTCTCAGCACACAGCCTTCTTTATGGTCCATGACTCTCTTTTCCTGGCCAGCTTCCATCCTTGCTGCTCTCATCGACAGCACAGATCACTGTGCTGCAATTCCCCAAGCAAACCTTAAACAGGAGAGGCCTCTGCTTGGAACCGTCTTCCTCCAACTGATCTTTATTCAGCTGTGGTTGGGCCCTGAGTGTGAATCTAGAATAGGACTCTATGTCATTGGATGAACATGTCCACTTGCCTGTCACCACAGCGTGCTGCGGGCCATCTGATTCTCCATTTATCTCCAGGGCTGTGCGCTGGGCTGAGGATGTACCAAGAGCTTGGTGAATGCTGGTGCAGTGGATTATCTCACTACTTTGAAGGCCAGCTTATAAGGGCTGATGTATGGAACAGAAGCTCAGAGGGTCTGGACACTGACTCAATACACAGACAGCAGCGTGGGGGTACCAGGCTCTGGTAGCACAATCCCCATGGCAGCTCGTAGATACTCTGCACAATCACTAACTCTCTGGGCCAGAGATGACTGGCTCGCTGTGTTCCTAACTATCCGCTGAAAACCAGCCAGCCAGAGGCTTTCTCTCAGCTACAGTCTTATCAAATGTGACCTGCTCAGCTCTTAAACAAAACCCAGCGGTCACGGGCCAGAAAGGGACCTGGCCCCAGGGGGCCCCTGCCTAATATCTCATTTTGTTGGATCTCCTCCTTTGTAATGTTTAATGGAAGGAGAGAGAAGAAATAGTGTTTCCAGACTTGCAGAAGAGTGTTTTACCTTCCGAAGGTCAGTCTGCAGTTGTCGGAGAATTAACTCCAGCTGGTTGACTTTGCCGGTCAGGGTTGACGGAGTCCCTTCCCTAGCAAAGAAGGATGTTATCAGCAAGACTCAATGAAAATGAGGTCTGGACATTTCATTTAGGGGCTTTTTTTTGTAGTTTGTTTCACTCAAAATTTTTTCATATGCAAAGAAATAAATACTACTACTATATCATTTCGAAAAGGTACATCTATTGCTGTTTGGTAAAAAGTCTCTCCCAGTTTGTTACTAAGTACAAATGGGGATACAGGATGCCTACATACATCAGGTTAGCAGAAAAACAAACATGACTGTCTACGCGACACATACAGGCTCAATTTCCCTTATTCTGTCCTGAAGTGATCAGGTAGCTCATCACTGACGCCGGCACACAAGTTACTGATCGCTCACGTCCATGTATAAGCTGGGTAAGGAATGACTGGGCTCTGGATTCCGTGGGGACACAGATGCCATTAACTGGAGGGAAAGAGGTGGTTTCTTTCTGAAGCACTTCCACAGAGAGCACACGCCAGGGTCAAGGCCTGGGGTCATGAAGTGCTTAGAGGCATCCCATGCCCCCAGTGAACACCACACCTAAAGACACTGGGCTTTCCTGATCTGGGGGCCAGGAAGCCCACTGGTCTGTAGGCACCAGTCTCCCAGTCCCACTGCTTCTGCTGCCACCATCTGCCTGCACAACCATGGAAACGTGCCTGTGTGGTGTCATCTGGTGATCAGGGGGCCTTCCCTGTGTCCGCAGGAGATGCCAGTCCCAGAAGAGGCACAGTGACAGTCCATGATCAGCCCCCACAGGCAGGGCTGCCCCGGGCACAGCGGACATGCTCGGCTCATGACCATCAGTTATGGGGGCCAGGATGGGGAGTGAGGCTCACATACCCAGTGGTGTCCAGGAAAGCCTTCCCATTGCTGTGGTCCACGCACAAGGGCAGTTCCTGGGCCCTTTCCAGGTCTTGCAGGTGTTGCATCTCCGTCAGTGTGCAGAAGGAGGCCACTCTCTGGTCTAGGGGTTGGGGGCAGAGATAACACACAATGGTCAGCAACAGATCAGGCCCCAAAGGGTTCTCAGTGGAAATGAGTTTTAGTGGCTAAATGGAATCCCTTCCACCCAATTCTGTTGCTGCTGTTCAAACAAAGAAAAACCAACTCAGGCAAGCTGCCATCACCAGAAAGCAAGGAGCCCGGCTGTCCTTCCTGGGATGCACATCATACAAACATCACACACACGTCACAGTCAAGGATGATGAGCAGATGCTGCTGCTTCTCTCTGAGACCTGAGGAAGGCCCTGGCCACCAGCCGTGCGAGAAACCACAGGGCTGGACGGCGACCTGGTTAACAGTACCAGCGGGTGCACTTTTCCTCAAGCTCTCCCCAAACCCAGGGAACAGCAAGCCAGCCACAGCTCCCCTCTGCATCTCCAACCCCTGGTACCATGCAGACGTGCAAACACAAGGAACAGAGATGTTTACAAAGTCCCCAGAGCTGGCCGTGAGCCCCAGGCAGGCAGTCACCTAGATAGCACGAGTCGTGACAGAGGAGCCCACGTTCTTCATCTGAATCAAGACCTGGAAGAAGATGTAGAACTTTCCTAAGAACAGAAATATTCCTCTACGTGTGAGAATGACCAGAGCCATACATAGGCCAAGAAATAGGTTCTATTAAAATATAGTGTGTGTGTTCAACAGAGTCAATGCCGTGTCATGCCTCAGATTACACCCCTCCTGTTTACCTGTCCTGGAGGGTGCACTGCACAACCATGGACAAAAGGCATATGTGCTCCCCACACACCTGCTGACCCAGCCACAAATACAGACCACAACTTGGGGCTTAAATACACAACTCACAGCTGTCTCCCAGGAGAATGTGAGGATGGGCTTGAGGAGATCAGCCAATATCAGCACTCCCCCTAGAAACCCTGAAAGACGGCCTGAGGGGCCACTGTTTACAGCACAGACCACAGTGCTTGCCCCAGGGGGCCTTATCTCAGCATAAGGCCACTATTATTCTTGACACCAGTGACCTCTCAGCTGGGCCTTCAAAGGCTCAGCAGCAAAGGGAATTTTACATTCTGCCAAATACGTACAGAATTGGCCTGGCTGTGGAGACTAAATACGGACGGACGTTGAATGCTGACTGGTATGCACAAAGAAAAATGTGTTTTGAACATTGTGAAGTGAGAACGGGGGACACACCAACTTTACCCACATGCCCAATCTTCAGGCCCCATCCTGTGTTCTGAGCCCACCCATGAATTTATGGCAAGAACAGTGGGCCATGGCAGGGAGAGAGGCCACGCGGGCAGAGAGGGCATGAGGCGATTTGGATTACTGGTGCCCTGTCTCTTTTCTGTGACTTAATTAATGTCCAGGAAGATGCACTGGAGCTGGCACTGGAGCTGGCAGTGGTGTCCTGCCCTTAATCTATTGCACTGCTCCCCTCTGGCTGCAGGCTGAGCAGCTGACGAGGCTGCCTGCTCGTTGGGTTTATGAAGGCCCTTCCCTTGAGTTAACTAGAGGATGGCCTGTCAAAGCTGCTATGGGCATGGACAGAATACCTGGGAGGCTGGAGGGCCTTGGGTGTGGTGTCTGAGACACAACTGGTGCCCCGTAAACCCCTCAAAGCCAAACCTATTGCTGGTGCATCCATTCGGACTGGCAGGGAGGCTGTGGGCAGAGCAGAAATTGCACGAGGCTTCCAAGGCTGGGAAAGGGGCACGGGCGGCCTCAGTCTCCGGCAACTGGAGGGCTGAGGTGCAGACTTTCTGGCTAGCAGCTGAATGCTTTAACTGCTATACCACCATGGTTCCAGTAAAGTTTGAGGACCCTCTGATGGTGGTCCAGTGAGCTCACTGGACCCCCTGGCAGGATATCTAACAGTGGTCATGGCAACGGACACAAATGTACTTCAACACACACTTCTATGATGCTAGAGAACATCTTTCCTTCTACCTCGAATTGTCCGCTAAATGATTATGATGATGTTGAAGATCTTGGTGTACTCATGCTCTCCTGAGGGCTGTCATACTAGCACTTAAGTGCAGAGGAGGAGGGCTTCCATGCAGTGAGATTAACTGACAAGTTAATTAAGATGAAGGGCCCACGTGGGGCCCTGCAAACATAAATACACGTCCTTCTCTCTCTGATAGGATGTGACTGGCAGGTGGGGTGGGTATTGGGGGAAAGCTGGAAGGAAAGCAGCTCTTGGGGTGACAAGGGGGTTCTGGGCTAGGGCGCTGCCCAAGGTTAACCTCTTCCTCACGTGCCTTGCATAACGGAGCACAGCCCAGTGCACGAGCCTCCCCTCACCCCTTTAATCAAGAGCAGATGGATTTCTACTCCTCAGTGAATTCCCAACTGATGAGAAAGGAATGTCAAGAGAAATGTCAGAGTTGGTTCTCTCTCACACTTAGAGAGCTCCACTGACTCAGCCCCACGTCATGCAGCCTGACTTGTGATGAACAAGTTCTGAGTGTTTCTTCAACATGACGGGAAGGTCTCCCTGTCTGGATGCAAACATCTCAGCTTGTTTCATCTACCTTTTCCTTAATTGATAAAACACCCACATATCTGACTGAAGAAGAAATTGCTCCTAGCAGCCATTCAGACATTTCTTGGGGAGAAACAAGGTCCTACTGGTCAGGGGGTGAGAAGCCAAGAACAGAAATCCATCTGCAACATGGTCTTGCAAAGAAAATTTGACTTTCGGTCTGAAAAAAGCAGGGTGGAGGTGGGACTGAACTGATGAAGGGGAGACCAAGTAAGTGACCTTAAGAACTAGTCATTTTAGTGACAGCATCCAATCAGAGAAAGATTTAGTCCTCGGATTTAGCTAAGTTCTAGGACGAGAAATACTCAGTGACCAAGTACTTATTACATTGAATCACTTGATCCAAGCAGAACTGTCAGGGAGGTGGGGGAGCAGGAACTCGGCTTCAAGGCTAGTTACTTCAAGGAGGCGACAAGCCACCAATCCGCACTCGCTTTCTGCTCTGCATCTTTCCGTCCTCCCCTTGTTGGCCGTGCAAGCTGACCAGGGTAAGATGGGCGCCACCAGGCATGGTTCACACAAATCCATTATGTGAAGAGGGTCCCACCAACTCTCGAGGCAGCTGGGGGACTGTAACTCACCGCTGTCTAGCTGGCACTGACTCAGAGGTGACCCAGTTATTGAAGAGTCCCTATGAACTCTCTTATTATCAGTCTAAGGACTCCCAATACAGCATATACTTTAATGATGCTTAACTCTAAGGCATTCTTTCGATATTTTTCAATTGTGGTGTGTGCAAAAGTTTACAACGCAAAATAGTCTTCAGCGTTGTTACAGTGGATGCTGCCCACAGAGACGGCAGCCCAGGGATGCCCCCATCGTGTGTGCACACAGGGAGCAGTCTCTCTCAAATGGGCTTGGCAAGAGCCCTGTGATTTCAGCAGCAATAACGTTCTGGAACTTTCAACACCAGGCCCTGAGACACTGGAAGATTTTGTCCTTTGGGTCTCTGAGCCACAATGTGAAGAGCAATAACCCTGCTGAGAGATGACAGCAGGCAGGCAGCCATCTGCGGCCCCTGTCTCCGCGACACAAGCAAAGACTCTCCAGTGCCAGGAGCTGCAGGTGGACACAGCTGCATGGACAGCCTGTGCTGCTACCATGCGGGCAGTACCACCCAGCCCATACAACCAGGACAGATACGGAATGCTGGCGTCCTCAGCGCTAATTCCGGAAGTGGTTTATTACATAAAAAGATCCCAAACCCTCTGCTGTCAAGCTGGTGCCAAGTCAGGCAGCTCTCGGTCGGGTTTCTGAGGCCCTGAATGCTTTCAGGAGCCTGCCCATCCTCCACCTTGGAGAGGCAGGTGGGTTCAAACTGCTGACCTTTTGGTTGGCAGATCAACACCTAACACGCTAAACCACAAGGGGACCTCACTAATCAACACTTTGAGATTACGTTTATGAAATATAAATTATTGAAGTACTTTACCCACCGTCGTCTGTAATCTATAACACTTTCCTTTTAATCTTTCGTAAGTCTAGATATGTTGTTAACTGTTGTCATGTTCGTTCGAGTCAGAACCAATGATGCTCAGCGGATTTTCAGAGGCTATAAGTCACATGGGAGGAGGAGGCCTGTCTTTCTTCCATGCACCAGCTGTGAATCCCTGCCTCGGTTGGCAGTGCAACACCTTACCACTGAGCCACCGGAATCCACTTGTCTGTATATAGAAACCTACTTACAATTTCATTGTATTCTTTCCAGAATTTATTCCTTGTGTTTTTCACTGTTAGCATAGCCAGCTAGGATCACAAGGACTGAAAGCAAGGACAACCAATCAAAAGGACACCTTTGCTTCATTTCTGGACATAAAAGATCTGCTCATAATAGTTTCCTCATTCATAGAACTGTTCAGAGTAATGTACATACTCTATTATACATTTGAGGCATGCCTTACATCTGAATTTTACTAGAAAGAGGTCCTAATTCTATTAAACCTTTTTTTAAGAAGTTGATATAACTTTTAATTACTTTATCTACTATAACTAATCATAATTAATTTTAAAAAATTAAACCAGTTTAACATTCCCAGACTCACCAATAATAATGAATCATTAAATTTATGACTGAATTTCATCTGCACTTTCTCACATTCGTGGCCAATGCCGTCATATGAGTGTCTCTCTTTGGGTCTGTGGTTCTATCAGAAAAGAATGCTATTACACAATAAGGCTGCTACTTAACTTCAAGAAACATCGGTTCTCTGGAATTTTGAAACAATTATCTGAAAATAAACTTGCTTCAGCTAGCACTTATGAGTTGGGAGATATTCGTGGACATCTTTACCAATACCTGCCATACTCTGACTCCAGCTATTATTCTTTTTAACTTCTTTATTGTAGGAAGTATTCAATTATCTTGTTTGTCAAATTCATTCCTTTATATCCATTTGAAATTACCCATTTTTTTTCTCTTGCATTGGTTGGTATTAACACTTTTCTCATTTTTCTGGCTTATAATTTTTTAAAACCCAACTTGGTATTTATTAACATTCAATAAATGAATACTGATTTTATTTAAATGACATTAAAAGTCACTTGTCAATTTTTATATTTATTCATTTTCAATTATAATTTGAGTTAAAGTTTACAAACCAAACTGGTTTTCTAGTCAACCATGCACACACATTTTAGTTTTAAAAATGAATTTCACTATCCAATGTAACTATACTCTTCCTACCTCACTCCTGTGACTCTCATTTCCACTAAACCTTCCTGCCTCTGAGCTCTATCCCTGGGTACATGTGGATTTTCTGACCTTCTGTGGTTGGTTTTCCTAGGAAGTAAGGGCCTCTCTGGTGTTACTGTTCCCCTTCTACACCTGTCTGTTGTTTGGATAAGAGCTGAACCATTGGGGTGACTTTTGCCCCAGGTTAAAAGGGTGACCAGGAGTCAGTGCTAGGAGTGCCACCAATCTCTATCAGACCAGTAACCCTGGCCATTCTTACGTTTTGGGTTTTTGGAAATGCCTTAGTCTCACTGTCATATGTGAGAGACAATTCTGCTGGTATGTAAC